ATACCTATACCTAGGTAATACTCTGTGTTTAGTAGAAATAGAAGGGTGTATTATTTTTATAAGCTGTTGAAATTAGGTCAGGCAATCAAAGGGAATCTTTACCAAACGCAAATGATCTGTTTGAAGAATGCAATTGCCGAAAAACGGTCAGAAGACGTAACCAGACGCAAGACTATAATTTTCCATCACAACAACACTCTGCCACTTGTTGCAAGACCGTTTAAAAACTATTTAAAAAATAGTGGATGAGAAGTTTTCTTTTACAAAGTTTTAAAATTGGCCTGATTCCTTTTTGGTCGAAAAAGACAAACAGTTCCTTTGGCAAGAACCCATAAATTAACTGAAAGATAGGGAAATGTTATAGCTTCAGATGGGCAATACTTTGAATGATGTATAAACAATAATCTTACTCGAATTTTCCTCAAATAGCTTCTAACAACCACTAATTCAGGATCTACTTTTAAAATATCCCAAAAACAAACTACAAATATTGACTATTCTCGAATAAAATCTAAACATAATCAAGATCAGCTGTTCGACACAAACAAACTGAACAATCGGACAAAGCCACTATTTTCCTTAAAACATTTAAATTATGTTTTTCTAATCAATTCATAGTGTTCCATCTAAATATTGTAGCATTACCAAAAACTTTGAAAAACATCTAGTTAATCTAAACTTTAACTTCAGCTTAGTTTATTTAACGAAAAGCTGAATTTTAGATAATACATTTTATCAAATTTTATTTTGCCCAATTACAAAGCCATTAGTTTTGAACGTAAATCGTTGAAAACTCGGGGTGGTATATGTATATGAAAAATTTACTCATAAAATTATATACGACCTGTTGTTTTCTAAGCCAGAACTTGAATCTATCACTTCAGATATTTACAATAAACCATCAAAAAATATTTTTTGCATACCGATCACCAAATGGAAGTTTAAACAACTTTAAAAATCACTTAGATAATTACAGTTAATTCACGGTAAGTCGAACAACATTTAACTAAAACTTTTGTTATCTCGTTTCATTTGGTCCCTTGAAATTGTCTAATTGATTACTATTAAAATTCTCCGGTTAATTCGAACTTCGGATAACTCAAACTTTGTTAAGTCGAACCATTTTTTTGTTGCCCTTTCCGCAAATTAAGAAAAACTTGATTAAAATTTTTTTTTTAAAGTCATTTCATATAAAACAATAATAACAGTAGTCTAATATTTTTTATATTTTTTCGTTGTACTTCTATCTGAATAAAATGGATCGTTATCGGACGTAAAATAGTGCTATAATAAAACTGTTACAAAGTAAACCAGAATAAAATAAAGTTAAAAAAGCAACTATTATACTATTATAGTTTTAATAAAATTTTAATAAAAAATTGCTAGCTTTTAGATGAAATTTTATTCCAAATAATTAGAAGTCATTGTGTTGCTTAACCTTCTTTTATTCTTTTGAGTGTCCATTATTTTTCACTTTTTTATTAATATAATGTTATATAGTTTATGTTTGATGTTTATACTTTTTTATTAAAGAAATATATACATATAAAGAAAAATCGCCTTAACTCGAACTAATATCTCGTATCAGCCAAAGTTCGACTTAACGGGAATTCCTTTTAGTGGAACGTTCCTTAAGTCGAACCTTTTTCCTTAGTCCCTTGAAGGTTCAGGTTATCGGGAATTAACTGTATTTTAAAATTGCAAGCAAAATAAAATTAAGACAGCTCGTTTTTATTTGTTGGAGATTATAACGCGGACATAAAGACAGTTTTTATTTGTTTTATAATTTAAAATATGGTAAAAATTTTATAATTTTTACCATATTTTAAATACAACAACTTTACGATCGCCTTAATGAGTTTGGAATGATGCCTATAATAAATAAACCAACAAGAATTACGCAAAACTGCTTTTCTGCAATCGGCAATATTTTTACAAACAACTATTGCCATCCCACATTCAAATCAGGTATTATTAGAAGTTACATAATAGAACATTTCCCAGTCTTTGTAGTTTTCAAAAAAACTAAAAGATATACTAAAGAAGGATTCTTACTTAAAAAAAAAAGAATCATTACTACCCGAATCAAAAATATATTTATATTAGAGTTATCCTCTGTAAATTAGAATTTTGTTTTTCCTGATACATGTGCTAATAACAGCTAACTAAAATACATTTTAATCTTTGGTTCTCTTAAAACCTCTTAAAGTCTTCGAAATGAAAACTATATATATGTTTTACCAAATCGCTATAAAAAAAAGCTATATATATGTTTTACCAAATCGAAAAAAGATAATGACAAACAAAATTACTTAGCGAACAAACGAAATATACAACTGTATTTTTTATAAAAAAAACATCTTAATAACACAAACTTAATAACCCAGAGTACAAACGTATATGAAAGAATTAAAAAATAGCCAGAACAGAACAAAAACAAAATATTAGAACTGAAAGGTGACGTAAAAAAACGTGGGATGCTATTTAAGAGATTGTAGATAAACAAAAATCACATAATAAAGTCTTACCAAATGTGATTACTGTAGACGGCACATAGATCTTAGATGTAAAATCGGAGGCAACAAAATTTAACGAATTTTTTATCAAAACATGTATTGACAAAAACTCTTTAAATTTTGTTTGACCTGTTTAACTTACTAAGTTTGGACCTGTACAGGTCCAAACTTAGTAAGTTAAACACACTCTTGCTCATTTTTCCTCGAGCGTTTCATGTACAATAAGCTATTTGCATTTTTGAACGAATCCTCTCTATTGGAAGCAATATAGTCTTTAATCAAATTACTCTAGGGAGCACGCACCTATACAATTAGTTGAAGTTATCAGCGGAGCATCTTCTCATAATAAATTAACTTCAAGTATATATCTAGACTTGTCAAAAGCATTTGACAGAGAACTAGGACAAACATCAAACTGGCTTAACTCTAACAGTCTATTTTTAAACACTAATAAAACTAAGTTTTCCTTATTCCATTCTAAACAAGTTTTAATATATTAATATATAAGTTTTTATCTATTAAAAAACCAAGTAATTGTTTGTGAACGAGCGCTCAATTTTGATGTTGTTTTTATATAGCATTGGTAGGGAATATATATATTCCCTACCAATGCTATATAAAAACAACATCAAAATTGAGCGCTCGTTCACAAACAATTACTTGGTTTTTTAATAGATAAAAACTTATCCTCGAGAAATCATATTAAAAAAATTCGCAATAAAATCTTGAGAAATATTGGTATTGTATATAAAACCTGTAAAATCTTAGATAAATCTACACTAACTCAGTTATATTTTGCATTCATCAATATTTACTTACTTTATGGCAATTCTGTTTGGGGTAGTACAAAAAAATCTAACCTCGAATGTCTCCTCAAGCAACAGAATCGTGCAGCAAGATTTACTTTCTTTCTAAATCACTTCCCAAATGCTAAACCGCCTAAAGATTTTCGAAAATATTTGTCCTAAAACATCAAACCGATACAATTAGTCGATCTACAGGAAGATTTGTAAAATCTTTCCGTATATCAAAACTTACAAGATTCTCCATTTCTTATGGTGGCTCGATGCTATGAAACTATTTAACAAGTCTGATTCGTAAACTTAGAAAAGCCAATACCGCTCACAAATTCAAAAAGAACATAATTGAACTTATTGCCAATCAAAATTCTTTACTTGATTTTTTTTAACAATACACTTTTATTCTCTTTTTTATTATCAATGGTTACTGAAGACAAGATTTTTTACTATTAAATATGATGAAATGTATTTGTATTTAATATTTTTTGTCGGAAATCACTTCAAATTGTAAATGGTAGCTGACGAAAACAATTAAAATCAGTTTACTTTTTAACTAAAATAAATTCATATTTTGATAAAAAAAAGCAAAACATCAACAACAGATATTTGTAGCCAAAAAAAAAAAAGCAAGCATATCATGAGAAATGTAAAAAACTGCTTACAAAAAGCGCATTTTCAGGTTAAACCTGATTGGCGTTTAATTTCATTTAAACGCGAATATTTGTTGAAGTCAAACAACAATATTGTTGTTTTGACTATATTATACTATTATACTTTTATATATATTATATTATTCTACTATTATATTTATACTATTATATAAAATCATGTTAAAAAAAAGTAAAAATTTGTTCTTTGGTTTTCTTTTACTTCGTAATTTTCATTCAATAAAGTTCTCAAAATTTAGGCTAAAAATTCAAACTGTAGTGTAGCCAAAAAAAAAAAAATTGTTAATTTCTGTAAAAAGTTCTGTAAAAGAAAGAAAAACTAAAAAAGTTTAAACTGCGGTTTAAAAAACAGTTTTTTTACACTTGATTTGTTATATAGTCTTAAAAAACTAAATAACAAATACTATATAACAAAGGCTTATAAAAATATTTTCCATTACCTAACCCATCAACTTTAAAACAAAAGATAAATGATAAGAATAATATAAGAAAATTAAAAATCAAATTTAGTACATTTATCTACAAATAAATCGAATATCAAAATAGATTTTTAAAATTTTAGCTGGTCGATTTTGAATCTCACTTTGCAGCGCTCTGGAACTACGCATATTAGCTTGCAATCTAACTTTTTAATTTGAATTCCAAAAATAACACTTTTTTTGCTTTATTGAAAATTTATATTAAAATTTAGGGATAATAATTTTAAACATAAATTTCAAATAAATTATGTCAAAACACATAAGATAAAACAAATTCTTTGTCCGAAAAAACAATTGACTTTTTATAGAAGATAAATTCTTTACAATTATATTTACAAAAATAATTTAAAAATTCTTTGCTTACATTTCTAAATACTTGAATCTCAATCGCAAGTTTAATTAAATCGATACAAGAGAATTTAATTAAATGTCTTTTCATCTTTTACCATAAGAAATGGAATTATGAGGTTTTTGTCGGATATTTTTACCGATGTTCTGGTATGTTAGTTAACAAGTTAAAAAACAGTCACTACAGAGACTCTTTGTAGTGATCATTTTTATTCTGATCGGGTATATAATGGAAGATCATTTACAAAATTTTGATAACATGTTATGCCATAATGGCTGCAAGGTTATCAAAAAACTTGCTACGGTCTTCAGTTTTAATTTCAATCACTAAAAATAATATTAAATAAAACACAATATTAAAAACAAAAACACAACATTAAAAATAAAATAAATTACTGATCAAAAAAATCAAAAAAAAATCACCTGTAGGATCAAAAAAGTTATAAACCACTCTCGATTTTGTTTTCTCGCTGGCTTGTTTAAATGCTGCTCCAAAAAAGCTGAAAAAGATTATTAAAAACAATTTTATTGATAAGATAACAAAAATCAAGGCTACTCCAAATTACAAACTTTTAACTAAAAGTACTAAAAGAATACCTTTTCATTGATAAATCATTGACAGGAGGTACTCCAACTAACAGGCTTGTACCTAGAGCAAATTAAAATTTACAATAATAACTTATATAAATAGTTAACAGGAAGTACTCCAGCCAACAGGCCTGTAACTAAAATTAAATTTTAGCTTATTAAAATTTTTAACAACGTTGAATATTTTATCAATTTTTGTAGATAAATCATTGACACGTTGTACTCAAACTAACGTGCTTGTCTAAGAGCAATTAAAATTTTTAAAGAATAACTTTTTCCAATTGTGATAATACAACATTCAAAATTCTATTTGATAGTTTTCATAAATCTCACCTTAATGTGAGTCAACATTTTCGAGGTAGAGAACGTTTAACAGTTGTTTTGTGAAGCCCATATATTTTAAATATTAAATACAGAGATACAAAAACTCTTTGTTTTCAAACATATGTATTATGCGTTGTATTTAAATGTTATAATTATAGACATAGCATTCTGAAAAAACAAACAAACAAACCTTCTGTTGCATTATAAGGAACAGCGATAATCATAGGCAGACTTCGAGCTCGTTTATTTTTAGTCTAAAAAGAGAAAGAAACTTATTAAAATTGTGTATAAAGCATTACAGAATTGTAAAAAGTAATTAAGTACTGAAGTACTATTTTAACTTAATTAAAATCGTTAACTGAACTTAATTCTTAATTGTATATAATGACTTATGAATTTAATCGCCAATACTAATTTCACCAAAATTTTTAATACTAATCTTAATAGTAAAAAAAAAAATTATTTTGAATAAATACCATGACGCTGTAAGCCTCTAATGTAAAACGAGCTAATCTTGCAATAACTGTAGGCTTTGAAAACATGTGGACATTTGAAGCACCCTGTAAAAAATAAATGTTATTTTAGAGTGGTCCTCATGATCATAATGATGATGACGATACTGAAGAACTGCATATAAAATATCAGAAACTATATTAACCACAAAGAACTACTCAATGCCACTAAGACATAGAACAAACTAACTCGTAAAAAAAAAAGCCGATAATTTAAAACAAATCCGATTGGTTGTTAGTAGCAAATCAAAAAACTTTTTATTTATTGGTATTTAATTTACGCAAACAAAGAATTCGAATTGAATGTAAATTATTTTTAAAATTTTTCGCCTGTTTTTTAATTGTTTACGTAATAATTTATTATTTCAAGATGGCCGAATAAGTCCCGAGTATTTCAAAAAATGATACTAAATACCGAAAACAGTTTTTTAAATGGGGCCAAAAGTTATGATTATTTATGCAAAAACAACTTTGGTAGAAAAATTAACACTACCATAGATTATCTAAATCTAACGTGACATTATTATTTAACATTTAGGTGTGGTATTGAAAAAAAGTAACTTCAATTTTCTTTAAAATAATGGTTTTTCATTGATAATTTTCCCAAATAATTTCTGATTAGAAATGTCAAGTTACATTCATTGAAAACAAACACCAACATGTGCTTTTATGAAAAAAAGTTCATAGATTTATCTATAGCCAAGTTCATAGACTTATCTATAGCCAAGCCCCAAGGTACCTTATGTTAAAAGTTGCCTCTTTTCTAAATAAAACTACGCTTGACGATTTGTCAAATTAAAAAACTACGCATTACTTTTACCAGATTATAATAGTGGTTAAAATAATCTTTCCATATTATACTTTCGATGAAAAAACTTAAATATAATGTAATTGAAAAAACTTACATTTTTTTTCGGAAAAACGTGTACCAGGCCTTAGTTGCATTGAGTATGCTAAATATCGGGGACCATAAAACGAACACCAAAAAAAATTAAAAAAAAATTTAAATTAATCAAAACATCAGGAGCTATACAAAACACAAACAACTACACAAAATACCAGTAACGACAACAACAATAACTAAAAAAACATCATTACCAACTTCGTGCTTTTTGTTGAATATTATAAATTAACTTTTTTTTAAACTTTTATTAAAAAGAATTTGAAACCAATATCATACTGCCAAGTTTAACACACTCAACAATATAAAACTTACTTATATTTAGTTAATAACATATAATTAATAATTATTTACTTTTAATATTGTTACTTATAATTTACATATATATATATATATATATATATATATATATATATATATATATATATATATATATATATATATATATATATATATATATATATATATATTATATATATATACATACAAATAGTATTGCATCCTAAGGTAAGCAATCTGACGTCATACTGAAATAGCCTGCTGCTGGGGGCTTCAGTACATACATCGACTGACAAATAGCCTGACTCGCAGCGGAGTGCTGCTACATCGACTGAGGGTTTGGGATGAGGAAGCAATCTTTTTATTCATAATTCTTCGCTTTTTCTTCTTCTTTTTCAAAAAAAACGATATAGCTTAAGGTAAGCAGAAAAAGTGAGCAAATGCTTATCAAAACACGCTTTAGTAAGTGTGTGTATATATATATATATATATATATAAATATATATATATATATATATATATATATATATATATATATATATATATATATATATATATATATATATGTATATATGTATATATATATATATATATATATATATATATATATATATATATATATATATATATATATGTATATATATATATATATATATATATATATATATATATATATATATATATATATATATTATATATATTACCTGCTTACCTTAAGCTATATCGTTTTTTTTTTGAAAAAGAAGAAGAAAAAGCGAAGAATTATGAATAAAAAGATTGCTTCCTCATCCCAAACCCTCAGTCGATGTAGCAGCATATATAGTATTGGCCAAAAGTTTGAATCCACCTCAATTTTTGGCCAAAACTGAAAATTTTTTGCATTGTTTATTTGTAATTTGTTTATATTGTTATACTATTGATTGATTGTTAGAAAAAATTGCTTGACTCATACTTTTAATCTATTTGTGCTGTATATTTTGTGTTTTTGTGTATTCAAATTCATACTGTATATATATATAGGGTGGTCCATAGGTATATAGAAAGAAATGAACATTACATTACTTCAAGTTGGAAAGTTCCAAATGAGTCCAATATGTAAAATATTAAATCTGGTGAAGTTTCATATCATTCGGTAAATATTCAGAGGTTCCAAAGAGTCTCTGAAGTTCCACTGAACATGTCATTTCGCATTAGATCGGTTTTCAAATCCACATTATTAGTTTACTTTCAAGTCACTGGATGATAGTTATGTAAATATTTTGTTTGATATAAGAGCACTATAAGAAGTCCATTTAGTTTATGATTGTGTAGAACTGCACAGCTGCATAGGTTAACTGGTTCATTTAATGTAAAAAAGGATAAATTCAATAATTTGTAATAGCTAAATTTAAATTAAAGTGCTGTTACTGAATTACTGCCAGCATATTGCAGGTCACTATAGTTGTTTAGTTTAATATATTTATTGCATCAAGTTTGATTACTTACTTAGTACATGTTGTTTGCAATGTGCTATTGTATCATTTAATATTCTATAATAATGGCAACAGTAGCAACAATATTGAATAATGTGTAGGTAATGATTATTTGATTCATATAATACAATTACATGAATAAATTACATACTTGCACTACATATTATTGTATAGCAATGTTTATTTCTGAAACTTAAAGATATACAAAATATCCATGACAAACCCTTGTAACTATTATGAATTATACAAAATGTGACAGAACATGTTAACTCCACAGAGTTAGAGAATTTCTATTAAGAAGTATGCTCTTTTGCTAAATCATCATGGTTGTACTATTGTTTATTTTTGTTTAAGCAGTCACTGGTTTGAAATGGCCACATGTACAAATGATGAAGCCATGAAGACAAGACATCAGTCAGTGTGGCTGATTTGAGCACCAGCCTCTAACCAAACTAAGAAGTTACTCTTATTGCAAGACTTTGTCAGTCTACTTTTATCACCACAAAGAGCTGAACATAGTGTTTAAAGAAAGTGCCAAGGTAACAGTTCAACAGGTTCTTGATGTTTGGGAGAAAGCTGGTATCCCAACTGCCCATTCGCATGATATAGTTGTCATAATCACAGCTGATGCTCTTGGCCATGACATTTAGGAGTTGCCGCTAAGCCCTAGCTCTATCTGTCGCGCCAGGATGCAATATCTAGAGGCGTTTGTAACAGACACAAGTTGTAGGAAGAGAGCTTATAGAGAAGACCAGCATGCCAAAGGCTTTAGAAATGTTAAGAGCGATAGCCTTAACCTATCTACATCTATCTAATGTACAAATATATATATATATATATATATATATATATATATATATATATATATATATATATATATATATATATATATATATATATATATATGTATATATATATATATATATATATATATATATAGGGGAAAGTGGGACAACATGGCAAATGGAGAAAGATGGGTTTTTATATAACAACTCAACAAAAAATCTTAAAGTTGAGTGAAAACGAAACTGTATTTGCATCTTGTATTTTAAAACAAAAATTGTTTTTTTAAATATTATTAACGCAATTTTATACGCATAAGTTTACTTTTTGCACTTATAAAAAAATTTTGGTTTTTCATAATAGATGGCGTCCTTCAATTTTAACTTCTTTAAAAGTAGTTTTTTGTAACTTGTGTTTATTTTGTGTTACTTTAGTTAAAGTTATTGGTAGTTTTTAAAATTTTATAAAATTGGAGGCACAAATTGCATAAGTCATCTTGCACCGGTCACATGACCAGATGAAAAATTTATGAATTTTTTGTTTTAATATTTATTTCAAATTGTTATACTTGCAAACTGAAAATTCATGCAGGCAATGAATCATTTTAATATCATAAACATACTGAGAAAGTATAATTGCGTCACAACTGATAGTTTTGCAATAACTCAGGGCTTTCAAAACATTTGCCATGTTGCCCCGCTTTCCCTTATATATATATATATATATACACACATGTGTTTGTATGCATATATATATATGTGTGTGTATATATTTATGTGTGTGTGTGTGTGCGTGTGTGTGTGTGTGTGTGTGTGTGTGTGTGTGTGTGTGTGTGTATATATATATAGGCCTTGGCTTTGTTAGCAGAAGGAGATATCTCTATGTGCTTTTTACCTTTCATGTGTGAAGTTAAAGCAGCTTCTCCCATGTTAGCAATATTAATGTTTTTACCACAATAACTGCAAATCACATCAGTTTCTGTTTTTTATGTAACCAATGTTTATATTTTTCTTCAACAAACCATTTTACTTGATAAATGCATTTAATTTTAGACATTTTCTAGTTACTATATCTGAAAACAATACAAAAAAACGTAAACATTTTAAGAGCCTAAAACGAACTTGGGGAGCTGTGCGAGCTGCTTCTCATTTAAATTGGTGCCCTTTTTGAATTTTTTTTTTTTTTGCAACAACCGTGCTTTTTAAAAAGCATTGCAGTATATTATACAAATAATTTTTTTAAATGACATTGTGTTTTTTATTTTAGTTACAATGATAATTATACTTTCATAAGAAAAATTATACTTTTGCAAGAGCCGTAAATTGTTCCCGAAACCATTTTAGGGGAGTGTAGGCGAAAGCGAGAGCTAAAGCTCTCACTTCTTGCCGAGGCCTATATATATATATATATATATATATATATATATATATATATATATATATATATATATATATATATATATATATATATATATATATATATATATATATATGATATGTGTGTGTGTATATTTATGTGTATATATATGTATGGATATATATATGTGTGGATATAAATATATGCGTGGATATATATGTCTGTATGTATGTATATATATATATATGCTAAAATAATCAATAAATATCAAAATAATCAGTCAATTGTTGAATTCCTATTGACTCATAATTGCCATCAATTAGAATTGTAACCAACTGCTTGTTGATTGCCTTAAATCTCAATTAATTGAAAAAAGTTTTGAGTCAGGCAAGTAATTACCTGATGATGAATATTATAAAAATTAGCAAACCATTGATTTAAATGTTGAACTACTTTCATGATTTTTTGATACCTAAGTAATTTTTTAATAAAAAAATTTCAAATAAAAAACAATATTAAGAAATGTGTAAAAAAATAAAAATAACCTCAAGCATGTGAGCATATAAAAAAGGTCCAGCACAAACAACTTGATGTGAATCAATAAATGAACGAACTTGCAAAACTAGTGATGTGACCTAAAGAAATATTGAAAACGTTTGTAACCTAAATATGACCCTTGTTACAATCAAGTTATTTATTACATCAAGTTTATAGTTTATAAATTTAAATTATTTTAGGAGATTATAAACAAAAGACAAAGATTTTAAAAGGGTTTTTATGTATAATTAGAAAAACTTCTAAGCAAAAAATTAATTTCATTTTTTTAACAATTTTTGAATTGTATTTTATAAAGATTTAACAGAATTGTAAAAAAGAGTGATACAGTCGACTCTCGATATCTCGAATACTTGATATCTCGAACTTTTGAGTATCTCAAACTTTTTTAGCGGTCCCATGGACATAACGTACTAGTTTAGGCTAAAATCCTCTCGATATCTCGAACCTTAATATCTCGAACTTTTTGGTATCTCGAACAATATTTTCGGTCCACAGGGCAATTTTCTCTCGTTATCTCGAACTTTTCAACATTTTTTTTTTCAAAAATGTTTAAATAAAATTTAATTTTTTTTAAATTCCAATTTTCGAAAAAAAAAAAAAATTTTAATTCGATTTTTAAATTCGATTTTTTTTAAGAATCGAATTTCTGAAAAGTTTTCCTTTAATATATTAATTTATTCTTTTTTTCAAACGCAACAACATGCAACAACATGAAAGGTCAGTTAAATTTTGTCAAATCTTGTTCAACTTTAATATAAACAAATAACATGTATCTGTTTATATTTAATTTATTTAGTTTTTTAAACGTGTAATTAAAATTCAATTATTCTGTTCCTATTTTTAGGAACAGCATCAGCTTTAAAATAATCTCAGGCAAAAGTGCCGCCGTGATGAATAATATGACTGCTTCCTGGAATGAAACTACACTCCCAACATTGCTTTTGAATTACAAACTTGAAAACATTTTCAATGCCGATGAGTTTGGACTATTTTACTTGTGCCTACTAAACAAAACATACCATTTATCACGAGAAAAATGTTTTGGGGGAAAAAATAGTAAAGTTAGACTAACAGGCATAGCAGCAGGGAGTGCAACGGGAGAAAAATTACCTATGTTTGTTATTGGAAAATCGAAAAACCCACAGTGTTTTAAGCACATTAAACAACTTCCTTGCAAATATAAAAATCAGCTAAAAAGTTGGATAATCGGAGACCTTTTTACAGAATGGGTAATGAAACTTGACTCATTTTTTTGTGCTCAAGACAAGAAAGTAACCCTCCTGGTGGATAACTGTTCTGCCCACCATCACATTGAAAAGCTAAGCAACATCAACCTAATATTTCCCCCCCCCCCCCCTAACACCGCATCTGTCCTTCAGCCTATGGATCAAGGCGTAATACAAAGTCTTAAAGCTCATTATCGTCACAAAATTGTGCGTTTGTGTATCAAGACTGTCGATAATAACGAACACATGCCAAAAATTTCTATACTTCAAGCAATCAAAGATCTTGTTTCTTTATGAAATGCTGTGTCAAAGGAGACTGTCATCAACTGCTTTAAAAAAGCTGGTATCAGCAAAACAAACAAGAGTATTGAAGAAGCTGATGATGATAATCCTTTTAAATTTTTGACAGCAGAACTTAACCGTTTGCAAGAGTTAGATCCTCGTGCCGTCCAAGAAGATCTCTCAGCAGAATCTTGCATTGGTTTAGATTGCGATGTAGTAACCATCGGTTCACTTGCTACTGATGCTGAAATCATTGCTCAGATTTTAGACCCTAATTTTGAAAACGACGATAATGAAGTTGAAGATAGCGTTGACGAAGCTATTGACGTTGAAGCCCCGCCACGCCCATCTAATATTCAATTAGAAATTGCTTTTGAAACTATTCAAAATGCTTTGCTATACAGCTCAAAATACGGAAATGAAATACAATCCCTAGCATTAAAACTTGAGGATTTAATGAAGATGGAAAAGATGGACAATTTAAAGCAATATCAGATAACAGATTTTTTCCAAAAGTTGTAGTTTTTGTTGTTAATGATTTTTGTCAGAAAAATAACTTGTTTTAATGAAAGTCGGGCAATTTTATTTATTTTTAACCAATTTCTTGATATCTCGAACTCTCGATATCTCAAACTTTTTTTCCGGTCCCCTTAGTGTTCGAGATATCGAGAGTCGACTGTAATTGAATTAATTGGTGGTGTGTTTAACATATTTGATAAAGGTTTAAAAAAAAACAACCTTTTATTTTGCTATAATATACTTACATACAAGAGTAAAAATATATACAAGATATATATATTATATACGAGTTATTATATTATATACAAGAGTAAAAAATTAATTGAATTGATGAGTGAAAATTGTTTTACAACAAATTATTGTAAATATATACATGCATGCATACATACATACATACATACATAAATACATACATACATATGTATGTATACAAAAGAAAAAAAAAAACAACAACAACGAAAAAACACATCTAATCTTTTTATAGAATTTGTGTTAATAAGGTAAATAATAAATACTGAATATTTCTTAACTGGGAGTTAACCCACTGTTATTCAGGGTGGTAGACCTTCCTCCATTGCAGCAACACAAAGCACCTAATTAAACTTTCTTTTCTTTTGTGCAAATGATTATGGTTTGTTATGGTAAATTGATGCTAATGGTTACTCAGCCATCTTAAAACTTAGTCCCTACAATCACCCACCTTGATATCTGGATAATGGAGCTCATGATTATTATCTCTTAGCAGAAAGCTACTATCAACTTGCAAGCCAAACAAATAAAAATACCTGAAAAGAAAATAGCAGTTATAGTAACTAACCTTAACTCTCAATTAATCACTCAAGCGAGTTCACACCAGATGTTCTGGAATAGTGTAGCCAGAATCAAGCCAAACTAATTGCCACAAACAGCTAAGCATGAGAAAAATATAATAATATTTGGTATCCCTGAACCAGTCTCTGTTGCAGGTGTCACCCAAACACCCCAGCAGTGTTACCCTGCATCACAGAGGTCAAAGCAGTTATAGACCTTACTAATGATGTTAGTTTCTGCGAGCGCCTTAACACTAAAAAAACATCAAATTGATGCCCATTATAATAAAATTTATGAATGCTGGTAATTAAAAATTAGCTCTTATGAATTCTTGCAAACTTGCTATATATAAAACTTTCAACAACTTTTTTCTCCGGGCACTACAACGAGTGGAAAGTACTTGCCAGTCAATTCAGTAAATAAATTACTAAAAAAAAAACGAATCTATAACAGAGTTTTGGCAAGAAGTTAGGCTAGCAGATAAAGGATAAATCACCACCTCTATCTCTGAGACACTATAAAACAATTTAACAATCATTTTCATTGCATTTGGATTGGTAAGAAACAACCTAGATTCTCGTTCATCATCAACCGAGAAGCAAACCCACCTATTACCCCCATTTTTACACTTAATAACATTTTAAACCAATTCAGTAAACTAATATAGAATCATCAGAACCAGATAATAGGCCGGGTGAATAAAAATGAGAAATTGCTTTTTCTCAGTAATTGGTCAGCTTTACGAGAATAAAAACTTTAACAGTTTTTCTTAAGTTTTTATTCCGTAAAGCTGAGCAATTACTTAATAAATTGCTTAACTTTACATGAATAAAAATTTGGACAAAACTGCTAAAGTTTTTATTCACGTAAAGCTGACTAATTAGTAATTAATTAGTCAGCTAATTAAAATATAAATTAGTAAAAGCAATTGCTCATTTTTATTCACCTGGTTTATCTTTAACTGCTTTTACTCAAATCTGCTTGCTTTGAAATCGCTCTGTCACTCTGTATCCTATTTAACTGCCTCATTGAAAACAGTTTGTTGATTGCCATTACATCTGCATTATGCAAAGTTTTGGAATGCATTATTACTAATTTCATTGTCCATCACACAAAGCGCACATGGTCTCAAACAAACTGTTTGGTTTCCTTTCAGGACGTTGTACAATGGATGCTATTATTCAAATTATAGAGGACTGGAGTCATGCTAAAGATAATAACTAATCAATTGCAATACTCTTTTTTGTAAAAGATTTTGATGTAGTCAGTCATGATAAATTACTGCTAAAATTAATGAATATTCTACCTAGGTGGCTCACTTCCTGGATTGCAGCTTACTTATTTTACAGCCAACAAAGAATTAAAACAAATGATTTCGCCATTAACTGAAAATGTATTGCTGGTGAATTCAAGGTAGTATTCTTGGCCCAAATCTGTTCATTCTCTTTGTTTTCAACATTAACTTCTATCACCTACCTGAAACCACTCTCAAAAAATATGATGACAACATCTTAACTTACAGAACCTACAATAAAGTTACTTTCAACTTACCTCAATCTATTGGTGTCACACTATAGTCTGTGGTCAATGCAATGAAACTGAATAGCTTTAAATGTAAAATGATTAGAATTATTCCCTGGTGCTCCGAAATTCAAACTATACCTTCTCTCATACTCAAAAATACTGAACTTGATATAGTCAACGCCATAAATACCTTGAAACCATGCTTAATGGGAATCTTAACTGGGATGAACAATCAACAAAAGTGTTTCCCATAAACACTTAATTAACTCACACCAACAACAGAAACCTAAACAGATTCCCATCTGCTCTGAACCAATTAGCAATTGGTATTAATAATAAGAAAGTCTACAAGTTGAGTTAAATAATTGATTCCTTTATCTTTTCATTAACTTGTAAATATACTTAACATTTATATAGAATATTAATATAACAGTTATATTATAGATATACTTTATAATTTACTTACTAAAACACTTTGTAAGAATTTTTTTTTTCAATTATTTTAGGTGCCTCCTTTGGATGAAGAATATTTGAAAAATAAAAAACTGGAGACACAAGAAAATTTCATATTGGTACGATTAATAAAAAAGCAGTTGCCAGAGAAAAAAATAAAACAAGAAAGAGAGAAACTAATGAGAAGATGAAAAGATGTAATAATTCACGTGCTGTGGAAATTCAGAGTGATACCAATTTGAATGCTGAGTTATTCGATAATCAAAATAGTTAAGAAACTGATCCAGCCTTTAATATAACGCTGCCAGTTGGAAAAAAATCATACTTAAATTAAAAATTTAGCAAAAGTGTCTATATAAAGTTTTTAATAAGTAATGTTGCAACAGCTGCATCAAAAAAAATTTTGAGATAAAAAAAAAGAATCAGCAGCATCATAAGCTAAAAGTTGTGGAAATAGATTAAAAAATTAGACTAGTCTACATTCAGACCACATTCAGTCTGGTACAACACTGATGAAGATCCATTTATTGTTATTTCAACCAAAGAAGAACATCCAATATTTACAGCAGAATCTGGGCCAACATCACAAAACTGTTTGACTCATTTAGTCATAACTAATGGGACATCATGAACACCCATTGCTTTAATTTACACTAATAGAGTCAGATGTAAAGTTGTTTGTTAACAGTAAAGTTTTAAGCAATATATGTACAGACCAACCTTTACAGAAAACCCTTTGAGTACTGGGTTGGTATCTCAAAAGGTTTTATTTCTAAAAAATTTCATGAAAAAAAAACAAACAACCTAGACCAGTCATGTTAAATAACTAACTTTGGTTTTAAAAAAACTAAACTTTTTCCAAAAAACCCACTTAGTCAGTCAAGCTTAAAGATTCGAAATATTGTTTTTAAAAATCTAAAAAGAAATTTATATTGTTATTTGCAAGGAATGTTTTTGTAATGTATGCTGCAGGATAAAAACTTAGAATATAATAAGAATATAAGAAAATGAACCATCAACCAAATCCTTAAAATAAGAGCATTAAAAGAATAAATTACATTCAAATCAAAGCTTAAGTCAAATTTTGTGATAAAAATAAATTTTGATACTAGTTCCTGGGAATACCTTGTTTCTGTTAATAATATTCAGGTTGAGCCCAAATAAGTATTTGCACAACTTCAGAAAAATTCAGAGAGGCTATTAAATTTAAAAGTCTATTTAAATTGTCTAACTGCTTTCTCAATCTGTCTATGTATGTAAAATATGCCTAATATGCCTTCTCAATCTGTCAAAAAACCTCAGAGGCTGCTTAACAGGTTTAGGCACAAGAAAAGAGAAATTTATCTTGACATTCAAAGTCATTTATTCAATTTATTCAAAATTTATCTTGACATTCAAAATGATTATTTTATCAATTGTAAAAAAAAAAAAAAAAAAAACCAACAACAACCAATAAACTGTGTTTTAGCTTCTTATTACATTCATGGTGACATGAAAATAAATGTTTCTTAAATAAAACTAGGCTATATATCAAAATATATCAAAATGGTCAAAAAATCAATTAAATGTTATTTAATTTGAATTACTAAAACAAATATAGTTAATAAAAAACTATAAGTTATTGTTTCATGTTATCGATATTAGAATAAACAAATTCCAGAAAATTCCAAACTTGATTAAAACAAAAAAACAAAAACAAAAACCCTAGGCCTAAGATATATATATATACTTATATACTTATCAGCATATGCAGACAAAAAAATATAAAAGTTATACAGTAAACCAATACAAAATTATAATTTTTTTACCTGCAACTTTGCTAATTCAATACCATCAATTAACTTGTCTATATTAGTCCTAAATAATATAGGAATAATAAATAATATATAAAATAAGAACACTAACTGTTAATTTTATATTAAATCGTAATCGTCTTAACACAACATGAATTTGTATCAGTATCAATATCAAAATTTAATATTTGCTTAAATCATATGTTATATTTTATATTGAGTATTTGGTGTATAAATAAACTAAAGATATACACACACACACACACCCACAAATATATATATATTTATATATATATACATATATATATATATATATATATATATATATATATATATATATATATATATATATATATATATATATATATATATATATATATATATATGTTTGTATATACCTCTATAAACCAGGGTTTATACAGGTTCTTAATGAAAGATTCCCCTGACCTAATTCAAAAACATAAGTAATTTTCCTGACTTTTTTTTCTTAAAAACCTATTTGTTTCCCCTGACTCAGTCAAAAAAACTAAACTTTTCCACCAAATCATTAACTATATATTGTAATAATTTAAAATATTTTCCAGAAATTACTTGAGTTGCATCATCAGTGAATCTAAAAAACACTATTTGGAGTCTTAAGATCAATTCCGCTCATCGGCATTAACATGAATTTAGTTAAATCTTTTGAAAAAGTTCCTTAATTTACTATTGATCCTAGTTCTAATCGGTTCTGACGTATATTAACTATAAATAGTTGTCAAAACACAATATTTCTATCAATTTTCACAAAAAATACTAGAATTCCAACCAAGAAAGTGCTTATAATTAAGAAAAATTGCCAATAAACAATCAGAACAGATCATATTGCTAAACTATAATGTTCATTTCACCTAAAAAACATATTAGTATAAAATCTTATTCAAATTTTTGACAATTTTAAAAAGATTTAAAAAAAAAAAAAAAACTTCAGTCTGGGCTTTTTTGCTACATTCGTTTATATTTTAAGATTTTTTGTCTTTTCATAATTCACAGACCAGACAATTTAACAGAAATATGCTTGGTGCTGATATCTTTGGCATGTACCTTTAACAGACTTCATAAATTTGTTTATTAGTTCTATTGTTGAAGGCATTACGCTTTTCTTTTACATATGATTTACTCTTATCTTTCTTGATATCATCAATCTTTTTTTGAAATTAACTTTGGATACAATCTTATTAACATTAAATCATCTCTCTACACTTGCTTGACCATGACTTGTATCAATGTTAGAACAGATTTTAATTCCTTTGGTAATTTGATAGAAAATTTATGAAAAAAAGAATTCATAACATTAATAACAATATTTCCCTTAAAATATACAATATTTGCCAAAACAATAAACAATTTTCTGTAAAAAATCGCCAATTTCGTTAAAAAAAAAGTATTGTTTAAGTACATATAGTTTTTTTCGAAATGAACATTATTTTTGAAATTTTTATATAACTTTGGTTCATTTGAGTACCAGGTTGACATAATTTTTAAAAACTTTTTTTTTTTGAAAATATTAGGGACCTATTAAATATTTGAGGGTCTTGAGAGACCCATTATATAAATATATATATATATATATATATATATATATATATATATATATATATATATATATATATATATATATATATATATATATATATATATATATATATATATATATATATATATATTTACACATATATATAAATTTAGTGATTGTTTTATATTTCAAAGTTTAAGTAAAAAAAAAAATGAAACCATATAAATAATTTTTTCTTACTTTGTGCATTTAAGATTTAGACATTTTTTTAAATGTTAATTCACCTCTCTAAGGCCAAGAAGACCACTACAGTCGAGGAGGCTATTATAGTTGTGGATACAACCCTCTCTTAACTCATAACTCCATAACACAAACCTTGACGAACAAGGCTGTTGGTTGGAGATGAGTTGAGAAACATACTATGGAAGTATAGATTTATTCGCTGAATTATTTATAGATAAACACAGTGAGTGTATATATTTACTAATTTATTGAATCACAGTACATACATCAACTAAACTTTTTTAACTGTAGACGCATTGTATATACATAAAGAATTTTGGTTTGAGCACCAGTTTAATAATTAAAAAAAAAATCTTTTTCAAGTACAGGTGGTGAAAAAGTGCATCTTCTGACATCAAATACATCACTTTGTTTTTCTGCAGACATTTTTATATAGGATAAAAATTATAATAAATTTGTTCTTCTTCTATTAAGATAACGACAGTCTGCGCCAAACATTGTATCACAATGCATCACAAAGCATCGCATGTCAACATCTTACACATTAGAGTTGCAGTCCTACTAAAAAGGGAAAAAGGTTATTTATCCTAAAACTGTTTATGACTTCAAAAGAATATTTACACAGGATGTCATATTATCACTTATGGGCTTATTAAAAAAAAAAGTTACACTTTGTAAACTGTTTTTTCTCTTCTTTTCCAATAGTTTGTAAACTATCTATAGATTGTAAACCGAGAGTTTTCTTTTTTGAACATTAAAGCATGTTTATTTTTTATTTATATTATTTTATTTACATTTAAACATATTGCACTATAAATAAATTTTATTTATTTTATACTGTTTTAAACATTAAAATATTTGTTTTAAACATTAAAATATCTGTTTTAAACATTAAAATATCTGTTTTAAACATTAAAATATCTGTTTTAAACATTAAAATATCTGTTTTAAACATTAAAATATCTGTTTTAAACATTAAAATATCTGTTTTAAACATTAAAATATCTGTTTTAAACATTAAAATATCTGTTTTAAACATTAAAATATCTGTTTTAAACATTAAAATATCTGTTTTAAACATTAAAATATCTGTTTTAAACATTAAAATATCTGTTTTAAACATTAAAATATCTGTTTTAAACATTAAAATATCTGTTTTAAACATTAAAATATCTGTTTTAAACATTAAAATATCTGTTTTAAACATTAAAATATCTGTTTTAAACATTAAAAGATAGTAATAATCAGAGAAGTAACAAGAAACATATCGCTTTTGGCGCCAAATATTTTCCTGCATCAAAATATGGTAGACCATATGATATTTTCTGGTGACAAACGGATAGCACACATCAGTCATTTAACTGTATAAGACAAATTGCTAACGCTAGATAACACTAGGTTAGATATTAAAAAAGACCCAAGGGTTATTGTATGTGAACTCATCATGTGTTACAGAGGACTACTATGGAATGTGGAACTAAGTTAAATGTTGAAGAAGCCATTATGATCAAGGCATTTAAGGCTACCAATGTATCAACGTTTGAGATATCGAAACATATACAGCAATGTCAGAAGGTGATTGAGAAGATTTTGAAGGATCCTGTTAATATTTGAAAACAAAACCTAACCAAAATGCTTCAAAATTAACTAAGCGTGACAAACGCCACATACTACGAGTGGCTTCAGACACTGGCTGTAGTGCCTGATTAATACATGCCCAGCTGGATATTGATGTGTCATTGCATACGATACAAAGAACGTTATATGAAGCCAAACATTTGAGGTATTCAAAGTGTCAACGATGGTGACGCGGAAACATCACATGGAGAAACGTATGGCATATGCAAAAAAAAAACATTTATTTTGTGCACATGATTAAAGCTCAATTATTTGGTCTGATGAGAAGAAATTTAATCTCGATGGTCCAGACGGATATCAATATTATTGGCATGACTTACAAAATAAGTCCATAACTTTCTTGTCCAGACAAAATGGTGGTGGTGGTATCATGACTTGGGGTACATTTTCCAAGGCAGGATTATCTGAATTGAAGTTCTTAGAAGGGAAACAAACATCTGAAAACTATATTATTACACTCTCTGATTACTTAATACCATATGGGCATGTCAACTATAGACATACGTTTTTTATTATGCAAGATAACACATCAATACATAACACATGACATCCAGTTGTTTGATCATCCAGTGCTGTCATCCAATTGAAAACATTTGGTGTTACTTGTCTCGTCACGTGTATGCAAATAGAAAACAATACAGTAACACCATGGAACTGAAAATGGCCATCCAGATGGAATGGAACAAAATCCTTCAATCTTTGCTTGAAAGGCCTATTTCCTCTGTGCCTAAGTGTTGCATTTAGGTTATTATGAAAAGATAAGAAAATTTACAATTAGGTAACATTTTGTTGTCTTAGTAATCTCTAAAACATGCTGAAATGGTGTGTGCGCTTTTGGTTTGACACAATGTATTTTTCATTTTATTCATTTTTTGTTTTTTACATACTTTAAACAAAAACAAAGACAATATTGTCCAATTTATTGTGTTAAATATGTATTAATTATTGTGTTAAATTTATCACATTCATACACCTTATTTTTATTACTAAATTATTGCATGTGCTATTCGTTTGGTGTGGACTTTATTTTATTTAAAAAACATAAACTTAAAAGGCTAGCCATAGGCACAGTAGAGTGTAGATACATTAAGAAATGTATCTAACTATAGGCACAATAGAATGCACATACACCAACTGAAAGCTTTGTTTTGGGCAGACTCTTAAATTGAAAGAAAAATCTGTATTATATACATAATATAAAATATATGCATTATATTTAAGAGTAACAGTTCATAAGCATTTATTATTTTTACACTAAAATGATTCTAATAAAATTCATCATAAACTAACCATTCAAAATTTAAAGCATTTTGAACTATTAAAAATTTACCTTGTTAATGCATCAAACGCATCAATAAAGTTTTCTGAAAAGCTGTGATCTCCTTTCTAAAATAAAAGAAATCAATGAAAATTACTTTGAATTATAAAATACCTCATGTAACAACTAAAACAGACATCTTTATGCATGAATTTTGTAATTAAATAAATACTAATTTAGATCTATAAGTTATGCCAGGTGTCTAAATTATGACACAATAGAGATAACAACGGGCTCAGTAGACGTATCTACTACTACTTATTAAGATTGATGCTGTATGTATAAATGCCAGCAAACTATCATAATAATCAGTGACACAAAATTAAAAACGACATTCTTTTCAGTGCTCAAAGACTTTTACCAATATACATACATACACTCACACACACACACACACACTCACACATATCAACATTTATCCATTCATAAAAATACTTTTTTTTTTTAAATATCAATTCACTTCCCCAAGGCCATGAAGGCCACTAAAGTTAAGGAGGCTAATTTAGTTGTGGTTACAACCTTGTTAATTCTGAAACACAAACCTTGACAAACAAGGCGGTGTGCAGAGAAACAAGTTAAGCGCAATACTACTAGGGACGTAGTGAAATTTTACCTTCTTGCTAAGAACACAAAAAGAATTCATGTTTCCTTTGCTTAAATGCTGATGATATTTAATACAAAAGTTAATTGGTTATTATTCCACATATCTGTGGTTTGGAAGGGTTTCCATAATGCCATAATTTTCATAATGGAAGAGTTATAACAATTTTTACAGTCAGATTCCTGATTTCAATAACTATGAAAATTATTAAGGTTTATGAGCTCCTCCTACTCTTACATTGGAGGTTTTATATTGATTTTTTTTTTCTTTTTCTAGATTGTTTTCACAATGCCACTAATACCTCTCCAACCATAATATAAAATCAGTTTAAGGTCATAACCAGGGAAATGTTATCTCCATAATTTTTTTTTTTAAACTTGTGCTTCTATAAAAATTAGTACTGTTATCAACTTTTTTTGAAATTAGTCAACTGAAAAATCAAATAGGCGATTTAATCAACTATAAATTTCCTACTAATCAACTAAAAGTCAATGTAGTCTAGTAATAATCTTAAAATCCTTATTTCTTTTTATTCAATTTTAATTTTTTGAATTTTGTTTACTCTCTTTTATTTAAGTTTTATTTAATTCATAGCATGTTAGCCATTATTGTATTTAATTAAACTTTTAGTTATTAATTTATTTTATTTTATTTTTATAAATTTGTTTATTTTATGTTTGTGATTTTCATAAATACTTTCATACAGGGCCATTCCAAGCTTAAGGGCCCATATGATTGTATAGACTTTTTAATTAAGGCAATTCTTAATTGGGGTCTGGGAATAATAATAATTAAATTTTAATAATTTTTATTACAATTCAATTAAAAAAAAAAAAAGTTTATTCCATATTTCAACTAAATCAGTTTTTAGTTGTCTTTGTCAATTTCAAAAATGTACTAGTCAATTTTAGTTGACTTAAAAAAATTAGTTGATTTAGTCAACAGTCAAATTATTTAAAAGTTGAAACAACACTAATAAAAATATAAAACTTAAATCTCCATAGAAAACATAAAAAAAATTCTCTATTGCTTACTGAGTATTCAAGTAGAGCTGTAATTGCATAGACAACATCAGCAGCACAAAACTAAAGCAAAATATCTTTATAATAAAAATAAAAACAAAGTATAAAAATGATATCAAATAAAGACATACTTAAAATTATACAAAAAAAAAAAAAAAAATACTTAAAAAGAAAAAAGAAATTATAAAAAATTCTAACTTTATGTTTATAACCATGTTGTGAAACAAAAGAACCATATGTTAAGTCATCCAAACTAATAAAAAAAAACGCTGAAAATTTTCATAGTTGAGCTAACTTCAATTCTAATTGCATGCACAATATAACTACAAACAATTATATAAAAATATAATATATATAATATAACAACTATATAATATAACATATTTTATATAATATAACAATAATATAAAAACATTTAATACAACACTCATATAAGAAACATTACAACAGTGATATGAAAAAACTACAAATATAGAAAAAGTAAAAATTACTTAATAGTTTTCTTTATTACTTATATTTTGCAGCTAGTTCTTCAATCCATTCTTTGACATTAGTACGAAATTCAATACTCATTGAGGTAAACTTTTGTTTGCACTGAGCTATGGGCACGCTAAAATAAAATTAGCTTTAATAACAATTTCTAAATAAAAATTTATTTTTAAATATTTTAATTTGTTTTCGAATTAATGTAGATATTTGTTATAGTATCTTGGTCTCAGATTTTATTACAATTTTGCACAGTGTGATCAAAAGTTTATTTATTATTAAATTCTTAATAGAGACAAACAAAAAAGCTTCGAAACGAAAATAATTTTGAAAAAAAATGCAATATTTGATGTCATAAAAATGTCATAATTATCCAAGGGCATGAACCATAATCAGTAATTTGTAATAATGCAAGTTATAAAATTCCAGAGAAAGTTAAAAGGTTAAAAATTAGTCTGCTTATGATGAAATTCATTTTCTTATTAGATGTACTCAAGATTTGGCTTGTAAACTTGCTCTGCGGTGTTGCTCAACAATTTGTAGCAAATACTGTCCATGGTTGTGATAATAAAATGAATTATATGTTAGTATTCCACTGATGCACTAAGAAAAATCATTAAATCTAGTTGTTTTGAAAACTTAAGATGTTTGAACACCTGAACTTATGTGCAGCACTTGATCTCCTAAGAGAAAACTTGTATTTATTTTTAATCCAAATATTTAACCGGTCAACTGCAAAAGGTCCAGGTAATCATGTTGCATACTTAGCTACTCACTTATGAATAATTTCAAACTATCTGAGGAAGCAATTAATATATATGTGTAAACAGTGCTTGTGATGAATTGGGAGCGACCACTCCCAACACACGAAACACACCCGTAAATGAACTTCCAAGCGCAACAAATAGCGCTTGCAAATTTCGTTACGAGAGTAAAAAATTGCACTTGTTTATTTGATTGATCTATTAGCGCTATATGCTTTGCCCAGAAGTTCAGTTACAGACATGTTTCATGTGTCAGGAGAGATCGTTCCCGATTCATCACAAGGCCTGTATAAAGTTAAGGCCAATGACTTAAATATTTGCCTTATTTTTCTCAAAATTGTTTGATAAAGATCACTTCTAATTCAAAAGATGGTTTGAAGCAGATGGTAAATACATCAGACAAAACAACTTTACCAACAACTGCTAAAATTTAATTTTTGTATACATCACTATAATTATAAAAGCACAATTTTTTTACATTTCAATTGATTGATCAAAAAAAGCATTTTTTTCAACCATTAAAATAAAACTTAAATTAAAAAGTATACTTTATTTCATGCAAATTAGAGGCAAAGTCTTTAAAAGCATTAACAATGGAAAAACTTAAAAACTGACATGCTAATAATTTTTTTAGCTACAATATAGACTGAGAGTTAATAGAGAGTAAATAATGAGTAAGAAAACAGTTGACAAAAGGATAAAAACTGAAAATTCCATGAGTCAAGAAAACATAGTAGAAGTAAATATGACAACAAGTAACCCAAATATGACAACAGAATTCCATACAAGAATAAAAAGAAGATTTATAGAGGTAGAGAAAATGGCAAAAAAATGGCAAACACGATAGAGGGGCCGCTTTTAGCAGGTGTTAACTTTGCAAAGGATCATAATGATTTCTGTAAGAGGTCAGTAGTGCAAGAGAATCTAAAATGTAAAAAAGAGGACTCATTGAGAGTCATCAATTGTGTGTGAATTGAAATTTTTAGATTAGTTTAGGAAAGTCAACAACATTGCAACAACAATTTTTGTTTGGATTAATACTCACTAGCTACTGAGATCTCTAAGAAAATTCACTAGCTACTGAGATCTCTAAGAAAATTCACTAGCTACTGAGATTTCTAAGAAAATTCACTAGCCGCTGAGATATCTAAGAAAATCACAGAAAAGAGATCATATTTGAGATCAGCTGCCTGTTCAAAAAGTAATTATTTTTTAAAATTTAAGTATATAGTTGCACCATCAGCAAATAGAGATGTTTTTGAAGTTTATCAGGGAGATCATAAATATAAATAAGAAACAATGACTAAAGAACCACATAGAACAAAATTTTATTTAGAATATTAGTAAGAAGACTAAGCAATAGTTTGATTCAGAACCTTGCTTTTAAGCAACCATGATTGAGATAAGCACTTGTTAAATAGTTTAGAGAGTGTTGAAGAGATAACACCTTTTTTTATCTCCCTAAGGGAGGTGAAAACAGAAGCTACAGGAGCAACTACGGAATAGAAGACTGTAGCATCAGACAATACCTTTTTGCATTGATTTCTTGCAATGATAAAAATATTTTGCTTTCAAAAAAACTGTTCTGCTTGGGGAAAATAAAAGAATTGAGCAAGCAAAAGCCTAGGGACTGGGAACTAACAAAAAGAAATAAGTTTCAGTGCCTGTCTATATCTAGCAAAATATTTAGACAGAACTTTCAGATTGACAAAAGATGGTCTGAACCATCTAAATTGAAAATGAAAATGAAAAAACCATCTAAATTGAAAAAGAAAGCGAGTCACAATATTTTGGATAAAAAATAAAGTTCTGGGTAAAAGATAAAGATACAAAATTTGAATTTGAATTCCAGCAAGATAAGTAGTACTAGAGGTCACTAAAGACAAAATATTCGTTATGATAAACATTAAAATCACTAATAACACTAATATTGGTAAATTTATAAAGAAAAAGGAATTGGTCAATTTGATCAAAAATAACATTAAAAAGTTTCGAATGAAAACAATGAAGAATAAAAAGAAAGATTTTTGAGTGACACAAAAGCACTTAAAAGTATACCCAGAAGATTCAAACCAAATATGATTATAACAAATATTTATTTTGATATATATACACTTTTTATAAAAATAACAAACTTTACATTTCCATTTAAAAAATGAAGATAGACAATGCACTTACCCTATATCTGCCAGCATTTCATGAAGTTTCTTTTTTCCTTTCATTGTGAATAACCGTAAACTAAAAAAGAGCAAGAATCCAAAAACCAGACCCAAAACATATACTATTGAGAAGTGATTTATACCCAGAAAGTATAACAATCACATAACAAATAAAGGCCAAAAATGATTTGGTTTGTTTTAATTTGTTTGTTTTAAAAACATAGTCAAAACAAACTACTTTAAAATACTTCTCAAACTAATAAAATATTATTTAGGTATATATTTTTATTTATTTATGGTCATTGATATTTATTATAACTTGGTTGTAACAATTATTTGATAAACTTACCAACATGATGTATACTGTGAATTAAAAAAACTCTCAAATATTGACCAATGTCGATACAAATCCAACCTGAGTCTAATAAAAGGCAATAAAAGATATAGGGATACTTTAGTTTTAAAATGTGAAGTAATTCAAAATAAAAATAAAAAATAATAATAATAAAGAAATCACATTAATCAATTTTAAAACATTTGGTGTCATCAATATACAATCTAATGAATGTCTTTAAGGTAAACAAGACACATAATGCAACCAACAATATGTGTTAAAGATAAACTAATGCACATAATGCAACACACAAAATGTGCTTATGGTAAGGCAACATACATATACTTAAAATAAAACTATTTAATACAAGTTTATTAATATTTTAAGCTTTTACAAGCTTATTATGATCTATTTTAATAAATTAACAATTGTTGAACAGCCTAAATAAAACTATTACTTTTTAATTAATTTACTATTGTTAAAATTATACACTATATGTTACTTAACACATATTATTATAATTATAAAAAAGAAATTAATTTAAAGAATTATATTGTATTAAATATTATATAAACAAAGTAAACATACTCGTTTTCAAATGAAATTTTCATGCAATCAATTGAAAGTGTATGTTCTTCATCAGTTATATTGTGGCGCAACACATGATCTCTCAGACTATTGAAATCACTGAAATACTTGTCTCTAAAACATTAAAAGTTTTAACTGTAACAAACTTGTATAAATTATTTATAAGGAAAAATTTTAATTTAGAATAAAAATATTATGTAGCAATATGAAGATGATTTTAATTGTGAAAACTTGCACACTTGCAATTTTTTTGTTTACCTGTAGCCTAAACATATTAATTCAAATATTTTTATGCTTCAGTTTGTATATTTTGTTTGCACTTAAGAAGAATTGTACTTATTCATCTTACCAAAGCCAAGGGAGCCACTACAGTTAAGAAGGCTACTAATTTTTTTTAAAGACTTTAGTTCTTTAATTTTCAGTTAATGACTCTACATTTTCACTGATTCAAGTTAATGATTATATAAACAGTGCTTTAAGTTTACATGGATGACCAATGTCATTTTCTCAATTTGAGATATTAAAATATTTTTATTGATAAAAATTTAAAGCTGTAGGGTCTTAAAAAAAGTGCTTGCACTAAACATAAAATATAAACAAAAATTCTAAAAGAGGTGAAGTTGTAAATTGTTTTTGGTATAAAAGGTCTAAAGAAGAAAATCAATAACATATCTGGTAGTGCCATGCATAACTTATTTTTTTGTAAAGTAGTCTTGCCAAAATGCTTTGGAGTTACTAAATAGAAAAAAGAAAAAAAGAAAAAACAGCCTTTATTAATGGCTCCCAAGAGAAGAAATCCAAAAAAAAAAAAAAAAAATCCCTCCTTCAGTCCAACCAAAGGAAAAAAGAATCCTTTTCTACTGACTCCCAAGCTTTAGTAAGGTAAATATGTAAAAATAATTTATAGGTTTATCATATTCCTTACCTGTCTATCTTTGCAAACAAATATTGTTCTGTCAAACCAACAATAGCAAGCCTAAATTAAAAAACAAAACAAAAAAATTTAAAAATTAACTACAAAAAAGAATTTTTTTTTCATTAAGAAAACTTTTTTTTATTAAGTTTATCTACCCAACTTGGTGCTAACTTGGTGAAAGCAAATTACCATTCATTTAAACTTTTAAGAAAAATAGGATATTAGTGCTTTCAAAACTTTATTAAAATTTTTCAACATCATATTACAAAAATTTATAAGAATTAAATAAGGCATTATTGAAGATTTTTGTTACTTTGCATTTTTTGTAAGTTTGACTCTTAGAGGAAAATTAGTTTTTTGTATTTCCAATTTTTAGGTTATTCAAAAATATTGGAAACCAACAACTTTGGATCAGTAAGATTAGTGATACAAAGTTGTTGGTAACACATAACTGAAGATAAATAGAAAAATATGCAGATATAATAAATATAGTTCATTAATTCAGCTCATCACCAGCATTGCCATCATCATTTTAGTTTCCTTGTTTCAGCGCTTGCACAGGTTTTTCTCATATTGCTGTTTCTCTGATTTACACAATCTGTAAATTAGTTTAGACAGCATTACTTTACACAATCTGTAAATTAGTTAGACAGCATTACTTTTCCTAAACTGAAACTTTTCACACCATCTGTAATGCACTTTGCTGTTAAAAGTAGCTATAAAAAATGCATTCCTGTTGTTAAAGTGAACAAGTAAAAAAATACTTAATACCAAAGTCAAACAATTTCATTAAGTTTTAAAATCAAAACAACTTACAACTTCAAAATAAACCCATACTCTTATATCATAACTTTTTAACATTACCCGGGATCATAGAACATTGCCTTTATTGTTAAAAATACTCTACTGTTGATTAAAAATCTTTTTGCGAAAGAGTCATCTTAAACATCAATACCTTTACATGTGAGATCACAAAAGTAAAACTTAAATGATATAAAAATCAAATAAGTTAGGAAGACTTAACTTAACTTACGTCTTCCTAACTTAACTTAAGTCTTCCTAACTTAAGCACATTTGGGGACAGAAAATCAAGATAATAAAAATGCTCAATGCTCTGATTTCCATAGGGAACTTATTGACTAAAAACAATACTTGACTAACTGCTTAATTACTATATGATACTACATTGAAAAAACTGATGCTTGCTACCTTGCTTTAATTGTAAGTACAAATCCACTAAAAATTAAAGTTTAGATGTTTAAAAAAAAATCAAATATTGCTAGAACAAGTTGGTACACTTTGTTAATTATCTCCTGGATAAAGATAATTTGAAACTTTTTTTTTTAATTTGACTGAAGTAATTGGTCTTTAACATATACATCATGATGTAGCTAACATGTTATTTCACCAGCATGTACACTAATAACATCATAAAATGAAAATAATAACAAAAAAAAATTAAAAAAAAAAGAATGAAAAATTAGAAAAATGAGCGAGGAAGGCAAAGAATAAAATATGATAATACAGAAACAAAAATATATGCAAATATATTTTTGTTTCTGTATATGCAAAGGAAAAGATGAGTTTTGCAATTCAAATACCAAAAAATACTGTTTACTCTGACAAATTGTAAATATTTGGAAGTCTGCTGGTTTCAGTAATTATTTAACTTCTGAGAGAAGTATAGTAGGAAAGTTTAAATCTCTATACAGCAAATACAAAATTTTGTGCGACAGTAAAATCTTTCAAATCAAAAAGCAAGTTTCCAAACGCCACAAAAATGACTTTTACAATATGGTGGGTCAATTGTTTGACATCAGTGCAATAGACATTGAGAAAAAGTTAAGACACAATGAATCAATGCCTTCTAATACTTGTGCTTTACAAGAGGATTTGGCCTTCTTATATAATCAAAGCTATTTTAGCTATTGATGTATCTACTAATTTTTCCCAAATATAAAAAATCATTCTTTTGAGAAATTTTGTTTTTTTTATTCAAATTTATCTTAGGCTAAGTGTTTTAACTTTTTGTACAGAACTAACAGAAACATGATCATATCTTCTAAAATTGACACAGAGCTTGAAGCAAGGTTTCAGAACAAGATTGATAAATGCAAGAAGGAAGAATGCAAAGATCGAGCACAGAAGAGCAACGATTCAATAATTCATGATAACAATGAGGAAATCGGTGAAAAAAGGCAATGGAATCATAATTTTTTTCCTAACAATGATATAGATTTTGATTTCGCAGATGAGGAACCTACAGAACCTAAAAAAAAGAACTGAATCACAATTAGGTAATATCAAAGTAAAATTTGTTTAACACATAAAAAAATTTATTTTAACTTCTGAATAAATAAAAAGAGAGAATATAAACAATTTTTTATAATAGTGCACGGGTAGGTTAAATTAGTAACTTTTTGAAGTAAATGTATAACTGAGTAAAAACCTTCATATTAATTTAGATGATGGAAGTGTAATTGCTGAGTTGGAAGTTTTCATCAAAAATAAAAATGTTAACTTTCACAAAGCAAGCTCAAAAAGTAGGCATCAGTTTAGATCAGCATACTTCAGAGTAGAAAAAAAGATAATCATTGAGGGTCTCATTGCAGCAACAACTTCCACCAGTATAAGGGCTGGTCTCAGCATTCGAGATCAAACTTTCTTATTGCAAGTATAGTAAACTATTTAGAAGGAGATGTTAAACAGTTAAAGTTAAGCAGAGAATCTGTCAGAAGGCAATGTACAGGTTTTTAGAGGAGGAAGGAGGCCAGATACATAATAAATACATTGTTTTAATGGCTAGTAAGATGTTAGATTAAATTTTGATGGTAAAATTTTAAAGCATAATGAGGAAAACACTCGACAGGCAACTACTGCAGAAAGACTATCGGTATCTGTAACTAGCCCAGAGTTTGAAACCAAAGATGATCTTTTACTTGGTGCTGTGCCAACTGATAGTGGTAATGAAATTGATATGGCTATAAGTATTTTGAATCTCATAGAATATTTTAAAATTTGTGACTATATTGTAGGATTCTGTTCTTACAGCGCAGTAAGTAACACTAGATAGAAATCTGGCGCAATAACTATTATGGTAAGATTTCTTGGTAAACCATTTCTTTGGTTATTGTGTAGACACCATATTGCTGAGACAAATATTATTTGGGCTTTTAAGATAAATTCAAAAGCCCCTGCAAATAAGTTGCTAAAAGAATTTTTAGAAGAAATGGATAACAGAACTTTATTCAAAAGTTTCAGCTCATGAAGTCTTCCCCAGGTATGTAACAATAATATAAAATGAATTAGTTTTTCCATAAATATACTTTTTTTTTTAAAGGATATTAAATAAAAATAAGAATATTTTAGGAATGATTATAGACATCTTGTTGAATATTTGGTGTATTACATGAATGTTAAATCTGAGAAATTAAATAATTTTCACATTTATCAGCCTGGCACCTGTCACAATGCAAGGTTTATGGCCTATATATTTACTATGGCAATATATTTTCTAATGCAAAGCAGAGTATGTTGTTTTAAATGATTTTAATGCATTTAAAATTACTGAAACAATTAAATCAGCAGGGATAATGAAGTTGGAAACTCACTTCAGAAAAGTATGAGTAATCTCACTTGGTATTTGTCTCCTAAAGTTGTCGCACTATTGTTAGGTGATCCTCATATGAAAAAAAAAAATGCTAAGAGTTTAATCATTGAGAAACTTTTAAAATTACCAGTTCCTAGGTTATCAGAGATTTCTGTAGAAGCCTCCTCAGTCAATCCTCAATATTTGAAAAATTATATTTAGCCCTTCTAATAAACAAAGTGAAATTTTGTATTTAGACTAACTGAATGATGTAGAACAGGATAATCAACTGCGGTTATTGATTTTCGAAAAAGTTGATTTTTCAACCTTATTTTGTATCACCCTACTGTTGAACTTTGCTAACAGAAAGATATAAATATGATATAGTAATAATTAAATTACCAAAGTAGATGGTTGTTGTCTTTTGATAATTTCCATGCAAGATCATACAGAACCATTGCAGTCTAAAATAAATTTAAATAAAACGAGAAAATGTTTTCCTGATAACCCTCCACAAAATTAGTTCTTTGACAAAGCCAAACAAAGTTGTTAATAATAAAAAAAAATTTACTGAAAAATAATTTGGACTGGAAATAAACAAGATAAAACAATTTTTTTAATTTAAAATATATACATATAAATATATATATATATATATATATATATATATATATATATATATATATATATATATATATATATATATATATATATATATATATATATATATATATATATATATATATAATTCGGGTAAATAACTTAGTCCTTATTTTCTGTTTCTTTATGAAATTAACTATTTATCCAGCTATTTCAGGATCTTTTTAAAATGGGATAAAAAAATTATTAAAAATCTTGAGAACATTTTTAGGTAACGGTTACAGTTATACTTTGCAAATACGTGAAAACTACTTTTAACCCAATACTATGAAACATAACTTTAACTAAAAAATTAAGTGTGTTTTAAGTGAATTATTTATTTTAAAAGAATATGAGAGGAGTAGAAAAATGGCAAAACCAAATACAGATTCTTAAAAGAGGAGCTGGTCACTTTGTGACCACAGTAAACTCTCTCTTATCAACATCCATTAAACTATAAAGTATAACAACATCCATTAAACTATTTGTATGTTTAAAACAAATGTGAAAATAAATATGTTTTCAAAACATTCATTTCAAGAAAAGACAATATATCTTTATACAGGGTGGCCACTTAATTTGTAAATGAAATTCCATGACTTTTCCATAATTTTTCTATGACTTGAAAATACTATATGCCCTTTGTGTTTTAAGTTAATTATTTATTTTAAAAGGATATAAAATTATAAAACTTTAAGGATAGGAAACTAAAAGTGATTTTATTGATAGGGAACTAGGGTAAAACATAGAATGCTGAGCACAAAGTGTTTAATCTCTAAATTTTCTATGCTGCAGATTAAGGAAAAACTACTCTTTTTAATATTTTGAAAGAAAATATCTATATTATTTCTAAAATTATGTTTAAAACTTTACAAAGGTAAATTATAAACATAATCTTTTTATTAGATCAATTTATAAACAAATATATAAAAGCTATAATGCACATGAAGTAAAAAGTAACTATTAACTATATTTTTTTTGTGCAAGAATTATTGATGTAAATCTTTAATTTTATTGGTTAAAGTGATACAGTTAAAGGTTTTGTATAAAAATAAATGCAAAAAAATCAAACTACCATACTATAATAAAAATAAAAACTTTTAATATATGAAATGACTGAAACTTAAATTAAGTTAAATTTTTGATTTTACTTTTTGATCTGACTTTAATTTTACAAAAGCATTATCCAGCAATTCAATTAGAGTTTTCTTTTTTTAATATTCTCCTAATAGCCAACAAATCCATGGAATCAAATTTAATCAACATATCCACGAAATCAGATTTTTTGCTTGAATAATAAAACATTTGATTTCTTCATTTAAAGTAACAATACGCAATTAATTGTTTTTCTTTCTCTTTCTCATATCATTAGTTTCTTTAATAATAAGCTTCTTTTTTCTGGTTTTCTAATAGAAACATTTTTCCTTTTATTTTCATCCAATTATTACACATTTCGAGAATGAGCTAACTCGCAACTATTTTGTTAATTCATTAATGATTGTGAAATTGTGAACATCTTCCTTTGTTGCGTTTACATGGCTATAAACAGTGCACTGTCTAATTAAAGGGTTTTTTGCATACTCTTTGTTGATACTACAACCATGCTCAACAGTAAATATAAAATAAAGTGACAACTAAGATTCAGACTATTCTAAGGTTTTTTTACATTCAAATAAGGCATTAAAAACTTGTCAAGACACATTTAAAAGCAATTTAATTAGCTGAACTCTTTTTTATTTACTGTTACAACAGATATTTGTATACTTCAAATTGATAATTAGCAGAATCAGCTGTTTGGGCAGATATAAACTTGAACTATTGGGTGGATATCAACTTGAATCTATACAACTTATCAACCAGCTGGCCAAAATGAGCAAACTCAAATTCTATTATGTTAACCATATTAATTAAAAATAATAGACATGCATTTTTCGCTACTATGCATTTCAAAGAACTTTTTTCTTGCAGTTTTTCAACTACCTTGACCAGAATAGTAATGCAATCTTTGAATTTGTGCTTAACACCAAATGTTCTTTGGAATGCTGTGCAATACCCCTTAAGAATTTTAACTTTGCTTAAGGAGGGTGCCGTTATAATGGCCTACCAGTACATCATACGATTTATATTTGGGCTTTTTGCTTTTGCTAAAGCCTCTCCAGTATAAGAGAACATTAACTTTTTTTAATTAAATAACAGTTATTTACAGTTTTTAGAAGTTCTTGAAAATCATAATTTTACTATGCCATTAACATTAATTAGCAAATGGGAATGTAATGGAAGTTCTGTTTATAAGTGTCACATCACTTGCAAACAGAGATTTACAAACTCTGATGCTACTAATGAGTTTCTGTTTGTGTTTTCATTGTACTGTTGAAAATGAGTGATGGACAAAATATTATTTGGCAAAATAAGCGACTTTCATCAACACTTTTTTGCTGACCAATTAAGTTAACTTTTTCAAAAGAAACAAATCTCAACTTATTTCAATATCTATAAGACTTAGCGAATCTTAAAAGTTTTGTTTTTTTGAGTGCATGTTACTCATTAGCTATCATTTAAATGTAAAAAAGTGTCAAACTAGAAGTGATCAAGATAAATCTAGTGTCCAAAAACGTTCAAAAGAGATCAAATAAAAACTTAAAAATCATACGGACCTTACTGTAGACAAACCAAAACCTGGATTAGGGAATACAAATGATGGGAAAAGAAGACCATAATACAGATTTTCGTTGAGTCCATGAGCATCATACAAAAAAAAACTCACGTGTTTCTACTAATATAGGTTTGTTAAATATGCTTTTGGTAACAGCAGATCATATCATCCACTTATACAAAGAAATGTCAAGTAAGAAAACTAGTAAATTTGAATTTAATTGTCGCACCTGTAATATCACCACAGCTAGTTGGAAATACAGTTCTGAATGAAGATGAAGATTATTTAGGGTCTGATGCTTCTGATATTAAAAATAACAATGATTCATCTGATAATAATTGTTGAGAAAATATTTTTTTATTTTACGTTATCAGCTGAATTACAATTGCATATTTTTTTATTTTTATTTTTGGCTAAATTTCATTACATAATTTTTGTGTTAAAATAAAGTATTTATTTTTATTAGCTGATTAACTTTTCTTCATAACTAAAATTTAAAAATTCTTAAAACTATAACAAAAAATTTACATATATAAACTTAAAAATAATCAAAAAATGGGTAACTAATCAATAAAATATCAAAATATTTTTTTATTTTTTATTTGGATTCACTCCCAACAAGGCTACAAGCAACCACTATTAAGTTGGGAGTTACTAGGAAAAAAAAGAACAGAGTTATAGAGCAAGGAAACGGTTGACAGAAGACTTGAAAAGTTGAAGGTTGTATGAGTCAGGAAAACATGAAGATGGGAGAGAGTTCCAAAGGATTGAAGTGCAGGGAAAAAAACTAGATGAATAAAAGTTTTTAGAGCATGCAGGGACATATACAGTAAACAAATGAGACTTAGCTAAATGATGAGTAAAACGAGAATGAATTTTAGTTGATGGAACTAGAGATGATAACTCCTTTGAGCAGTGACCATGATAGTATTTGTAGAAAAGAGAAAGAGATGCAACTTTACGACGATGGGAAAGAGGTTCAAGCTTAGCAGATAGTCCAGGTCCAACAACATTTACAATGCGTTTTTGGACCTTGTCAAGAAGAGAAAGTGAATCGTTAGAAGAACCAGCCCGAATATGACAACAGTATTCCATACAGGGACAAATAAGAGATTTGTAGAGGTAGAGAATGGAATCAGAAGTAAGGAAATGGCAAGCACGATAAAGAGAAGCAACCTTAGCAGAAGCTAATTTAGCAATTGATTGTATATATGGTTTCCATGAAAAGTCAGTAGTAAGCGATAATCCAAGAAGACGTAAAGAGGTCAGAAGTCACTGGAAATAAAGAAGAGTGTTGGTCTTCAAGGATGACTTTAACAAACCGGTAAGAAAGAAATGATTTGATAATCTCAAAAACTTTCCCAGAAACACCATATGAAGCAAGCTTATGGAGAAGACCAGCATGCCAAACTTTGTCGAAAGCTTTAGATATGTCGAGAGCAATAGCCCTAGCTTCACCGCCTCCATCTAATGCACAATAAAATCTTTCAGTTACAGCAGTTAGCAAGTCGGCCGTAGAGCGAGAGGATCGAAAACCGTATTGATTGTCTGACAGCAGTTTATTTGACTCAAGATGAGATGTGAGGAATTTGTTGATCAAAGACTCAAAGACCTTGCTAATAACAGAAAGAAGACTGATCGGACGATAATTGGAGGGTCAGAATTTTCTCCAGAGTTTTTGAATATTGGAACCACAGATGCCATTTTCCAATAAGCAGGAAAACAAGACTCAGTCAAACACTTGTTAAATAGTTTAGAGAGAATTGAAGAAAGTTCTGGAGAACAATTCTGCAAGACTGTGACAGGAATGTTGTCTGGACCACAAGCTGTAGACAAGTTTAATTGAGATATGACTTTAGCAACAGAAGCCGGAGTGATTTGAATGTCTAACAATGGGTCAACCTGTTTGACTGGAATGGAAGGAAGAGAATGTCCATAAGATTCAAGAGTGGAATTAGAAGAAAAGTTCTTTGCAAATAGTTCTGCCTTATCCTTGGGAGAGGTAATAAGATCAGTCCCATGAATGAGAGATGGAATGTTAGATCTACCCTTGTTAATAATGCTGTTAAAGATTTTCCAAAAGTCTTTAGAGCCTAACTTCTGTGATAGGATGCGAGATTTAGTGAACTGAGAATAATGGAGTTTAGCATCAGAAAGCACCTTTTTACATCGATTTCTAGCAATAATAAATAGCCATTTGTTCTCAAGAGAGTTGTTCTTTTGAAAAAGATGAAAAAAATGATTACAATTGGATATAGCAGCCGCACAAGAAGGAGAAAACCATGGAGTAGAATGAGGCTTGACTTGAAACCGACAAGAAGGAATAAAAGCTTCCAATCCAGCCTGAATCCAGGAGGTTACGTAAGCGGCGCATTTATCAGCTGAGAGAGAAAAAACATCAGCCCAAGGACCATCACGAAGAAAATCACGAAAAGAATCCCAGTCAGCTTTAGGGTAGTAGTAGGTGGTGCAATGATAAGGTGAGCTCAAAAAAGAAGTACGAGAAGAAAGATTTATAGAGATCATTGCATGGTCAGAACCATTAAGGGAGAAAAGGGAGAAACTGAACATGAGCTAGGGTCAAAGACAAGACATATCATGGAGTGAAGGTAAATAATTAGGGTTGTCAGGAAAACGATTCATTAAGTTAACTATTTGAGGAAGAGATTGAAAAACGCAGAAGTTAAAGGCTTTAGTGCCAGCAGGATCAGTGGTGTTAGAGCCAAGCCATTCAGTGTGATGGGCATTAAAATCACCAACAACAACAATATTGGCAGAGGGGTAAAGAGAGAGAGGGCATAGTCAATTTGATCAGAGATAACATCTAAAAGAGTGCAATCATGGGAAAAAGGAGAACGATAAAGAACAAAGAGAAAGGTGATAGAGTGAAGAGGTGCTAGGCGAAAGCACATAAAAGAATGGTCAAAGGATTCGAACCTGATTTCACGACAAATAGGGGAATTAATGCGTATGTATACCCCTAAACCTAGCATGTGACTATTGGAGTCTTTACGAATCAAAGGATAGTACCCATCAACACTGACATCTGAAGAAGGAATTGCAGAATTTAAATTTGTTTCACTGAGTGCAAGCAAGTCTGGTGAATTTTGCAGGAGGTAAGACTCAACTGACGGAAAGTTGCTCCACAGACCCCGAATATTTGTAAAAGATATATTAAAACATTTTGTCATGATTTGGGTTTTATGATTAATTATTGATAACATTCTTAGGATATATAAATAATTATTAATAACATTCAGGAATCAAATTGCAGAACAAAATATTTTTGTCGACCTAGCGTGTATAAAGCAATACACTGTGTGACCTCACCATAATTGATTGATTGTATCAAACTCAAACCAAATTCTTAAAAGTATTATGATTATTCAACTGATATCTTATTTTGAATACTAAAATACCTCTGACTTTCAATAAAAATTTAAAAATTTCATGACATTTTCCATGACCAAATAAAATTCCATGACATTTCTATGATTTTCATGACCAGTGGCTACCCTATTATAGTTTTAGTAATAATTATACATCATCATAAAATAAGTTACATAGCTGTATAAAATAAAACATACACTGGATCCATAATAAGAAGATTCGTAATATTCTTCTAAAATTTGATCTCTGAAAATTAAAGAAAAAAAAAATTAATAAATAAACAATAAAAATACAATTAGTTAAAAAGGTTTGCATAGAAGAATAGATTTATTCATGTTTATTTATGAATATTAAAACTATTAATTTTATTATGGTTTAGTGGTTATAAAAAGAAAAGTGGAAGTGGAAAGAAATACCAATCAAATCTCTTGTGTAAATCAAGAAACAATTAGGCCAAGTTGCTAATATAACAAATTAATTTACCTTACAACTTGTCCACATAACTACAAATTAAAATAATTAACATTTACAACTGTGTGTCTTTCTTAAAAAAATCACAGTTGCAAGTGTTGTTTTAAACAAGTTAAAAAATTGTAACTATTTAAAGTTTACCTTTCAGAAGCCCATTTCTTTTTTTTCACCTTTTTCTCTAAGTATGAAATCTAAAACAAAATATTGAAGTAAAAAATACATAGAATCTCTTGTCAGTTATTAAATCACATTAGTTCATAAATATATTAGAGATTTTTTTTCCTAAATAAATATCCATATCCAATGATATCATATAGACATTTTATTAGTACTTATAGAAAAATAAAGTCTTTGAATCTATTTATAAATAAATAACATTTAAATAAATAATAATAGATAAATTGTCCTAAAGTTAATAAAGATAATATGTTACTAAATAAATATTAATAAAGATATTAATACGTTACTAAATAAAGTTTCAGATTCTTAAAAAAAAAGATGTGGTTAATAGGATTTAAGTTTAACCTACAATCTCAATATCTAGTTAAAAATATTATTTAAAAAGATTGTCCAAGAGTCTGGAATGTAAAACTTTCATTTTGTGTTTCATTGATAACACCACTGGGTAAAATTTGAAGAAAAGATGACTGGAATGAGCATCTTCCTTTTACATAGAATTACCCTTGAAATTGTTTTCATGAGTAACATGATAGTATTTCAAGACAGGAAACTTGTGATCTGTTACTACATAAGTAAACAGATTATTATCTAGTATTATTAATTTTTTTCTGCAAACAATAAATTTATAGATTTATTAAAATTTTTTTGCAACCAATAAATTAAAGATTTATTAATATCTTTTTGAAACTTTAAAAGATTTAAAAGAAATCCAAGTAATCCCTTACATCACCAGTTCGTTGACGTTTAGAAGAAGGTTGATCAGTATCATCTTCATTTTCAGATGACTCGTCTTCATCTTCTTCCTAAATATAACAAAAGTATTTTAAAATGTTGATTTTTCAGTGTTTTGCCTGAAAACTAAGGAAAAAAAGTATGAAAAAATAAAAGGATTTCTTACAAATTCTATGACTTTCTCAGCCTCAGGTATTTCATCTAATGTATTGTCACCGTCTTTGATTATAACTTTTATTTGATCTCGATATACATTATTCAAATCAAGAGGGCGATGGCTAAAAAACAATGTTTTTTGAACAGCATTGGCCACATTTTAAAAAAACAGAAGACTGCTGTGTTTGAAATTTACCCTAGCAATAGCCTGCGCTCTATTTAGTAAGTGTGAAGCTTCAATTATGTTTTTTTTATTTTTATGCTAAAATAAATTACTTTAAATTAAAATTTGGCATTTACAACTCATTAACTAATAAATTTAGTAGAAAACATGTTAAGAATTTCAAACTTATTCGATACAAATAGTTTATCAAGTATAAGTGAAACTGATGCATTTGTCCTGACAATCAGCAACCTTGATGTTTGAATGTTTACGAAAAGCAATGAGGGTTGTGTTTATTAACAAAACAATTACTTGTAGATATTATAAACTGTATCTACAAGAAAAACTTATCAAAGATCTTTGAAATGTTGACTAAAAATGATGATAGCATAAAATGGATTTATGTTATATGTAAAATAAAAGATGATAATTAAATTTATACACATTTTCATAATTTCTTTTTAATTTCAATTAAAATGCAAATGTTTAATTTACAAAAACAAAATATATTGATAAAAAATTTTTTTTTTTAAATTTACAAATACATAATTTACCAAATATTCAAATTTAGTTAGGAAACCATAGGCACGAGCCATGGCTTGTCTTAAATTTTTTTAAATGTTGGAATGCAATAGGTTTTTTTTAATCTTTTTATTTATAAGCAAACAACACATAAATTCCAAATATTGCAAAAATGCTGTATAAGATTTTATCAGACCTATCAGAATTATCTGACTCGCCTAATTTATCAGACCTATCAGAATTATCTGACTCGCCTAATTTATCAGACCTATCAGAATTATCTGACTCGCCCAATTTATCAGACCTATCAGAATTATCTGATTGGCCCAATTTATCAGACCTATCAGAATTATCTGACTCACCCAATTTATCAGAATTATCTGACTCGCCCAATTTATCAGACCTATCAGAATTATCTGACTCACCCAATTTATCAGACCTATCAGAATTATCTGACTCACCCAATTTATCAGACCTATCAGAATTATCTGACTCACCCAATTTATCAGACCTATCAGAATTATCTGACTCACCCAATTTATCAGACCTATCAGAATTATCTGACTCACCCAATTTATCAGAATTATCTGACTCGCCCAATTTATCAGACCTATCAGAATTATCTGACTCGCCCAATTTATCAGACCTATCAGAATTATCTGACTCGCCCAATTTATCAGACCTATCAGAATTATCTGACTCACCCAATTTATCACCCAACTTATCAGACCTATCAGAATTATCTGACTCACCCAACTTATCAGACCTATCAGAATTATCTGACTCACCCAATTTATCAGACCTATCAGAATTATCTGACTCGCCCAATTTATCAGACCTATCAGAATTATCTGACTCACCCAATTTATCAGACCTATCAGAATTATCTGATTGGCCCAATTTATCAGACCTATCAGAATTATCTGACTCACCCAATTTATCAGAATTATCTGACTCGCCCAATTTATCAGACCTATCAGAATTATCTGACTCACCCAATTTATCAGACCTATCAGAATTATCTGACTCACCCAATTTATCAGACCTATCAGAATTATCTGACTCACCCAATTTATCAGACCTATCAGAATTATCTGACTCACCCAATTTATCAGAATTATCTGACTCGCCCAATTTATCAGACCTATCAGAATTATCTGACTCACCCAATTTATCAGACCTATCAGAATTATCTGACTCACCCAATTTATCAGACCTATCAGAATTATCTGACTCACCCAATTTATCAGACCTATCAGAATTATCTGACTCACCTAATTTATCAGACCTATCAGAATTATCTGACTCGCCCAATTTATCAGACCTATCAGAATTATCTGACTCACCCAATTTATCAGACCTATCAGAATTATCTGACTCACCCAATTTATCAGAATTATCTGACTCGCCCAATTTATCAGACCTATCAGAATTATCTGACTCACCCAATTTATCAGACCTATCAGAATTATCTGACTCACCCAACTTATCAGACCTATCAGAATTATCTGACTCACCCAATTTATCAGACCTATCAGAATTATCTGACTCACCTAATTTATCAGACCTATCAGAATTATCTGACTCGCCCAATTTATCAGACCTATCAGAATTATCTGACTCACCCAATTTATCAGACCTATCAGAATTATCTGACTCACCTAATTTATCAGACCTATCAGAATTATCTGACTCGCCCAATTTATCAGACCTATCAGAATTATCTGACTCACCCAATTTATCAGACCTATCAGAATTATCTGACTCACCCAATTTATCAGAATTATCTGACTCGCCCAATTTATCAGACCTATCAGAATTATCTGACTCGCCCAATTTATCAGACCTATCAGAATTATCTGACTCACCCAATTTATCAGAATTATCTGACTCGCCCAATTTATCAGACCTATCAGAATTATCTGACTCGCCCAATTTATCAGACCTATCAGAATTATCTGACTCGCCCAATTTATCAGACCTATCAGAATTATCTGACTCGCCCAATTTATCAGACCTATCAGAATTATCTGACTCACCCAACTTATCAGACCTATCAGAATTATCTGACTCACCCAATTTATCAGACCTATCAGAATTATCTGACTCGCCCAATTTATCAGACCTATCAGAATTATCTGACTCGCCCAATTTATCAGACCTATCAGAATTATCTGACTCACCCAATTTATCAGACCTATCAGAATTATCTGACTCACCCAATTTATCAGACCTATCAGAATTATCTGACTCACCCAATTTATCAGACCTATCAGAATTATCTGACTCACCCAATTTATCAGACCTATCAGAATTATCTGACTCACCCAATTTATCAGACCTATCAGAATTATCTGACTCACCCAATTTATCAGAATTATCTGACTCGCCCAATTTATCAGACCTATCAGAATTATCTGACTCACCCAATTTATCAGACCTATCAGAATTATCTGACTCACCCAATTTATCAGACCTATCAGAATTATCTGACTCACCCAATTTATCAGACCTATCAGAATTATCTGACTCGCCCAATTTATCAGACCTATCAGAATTATCTGACTCACCCAATTTATCAGACCTATCAGAATTATCTGATTGGCCCAATTTATCAGACCTATCAGAATTATCTGACTCACCCAATTTATCAGAATTATCTGACTCGCCCAATTTATCAGACCTATCAGAATTATCTGACTCACCCAATTTATCAGACCTATCAGAATTATCTGACTCACCCAATTTATCAGACCTATCAGAATTATCTGACTCACCCAATTTATCAGACCTATCAGAATTATCTGACTCACCCAATTTATCAGAATTATCTGACTCGCCCAATTTATCAGACCTATCAGAATTATCTGACTCGCCCAATTTAACAGACCTATCAGAATTATCTGACTCGCCCAATTTATCAGACCTATCAGAATTATCTGACTCACCCAATTTATCAGACCTATCAGAATTATCTGACTCACCCAATTTATCAGAATTATCTGACTCGCCCAATTTATCAGACCTATCAGAATTATCTGACTCACCCAATTTATCAGACCTATCAGAATTATCTGACTCACCCAACTTATCAGACCTATCAGAATTATCTGACTCGCCCAATTTATCAGACCTATCAGAATTATCTGACTCACCCAATTTATCAGACCTATCAGAATTATCTGACTCACCCAATTTATCAGAATTATCTGACTCGCCCAATTTATCAGACCTATCAGAATTATCTGACTCACCCAATTTATCAGACCTATCAGAATTATCTGACTCACCTAATTTATCAGACCTATCAGAATTATCTGACTCGCCCAATTTATCAGACCTATCAGAATTATCTGACTCACCCAATTTATCAGACCTATCAGAATTATCTGACTCACCCAATTTATCAGAATTATCTGACTCGCCCAATTTATCAGACCTATCAGAATTATCTGACTCGCCCAATTTATCAGACCTATCAGAATTATCTGACTCACCCAATTTATCAGAATTATCTGACTCGCCCAATTTATCAGACCTATCAGAATTATCTGACTCGCCCAATTTATCAGACCTATCAGAATTATCTGACTCGCCCAATTTATCAGACCTATCAGAATTATCTGACTCGCCCAATTTATCAGACCTATCAGAATTATCTGACTCACCCAACTTATCAGACCTATCAGAATTATCTGACTCACCCAATTTATCAGACCTATCAGAATTATCTGACTCGCCCAATTTATCAGACCTATCAGAATTATCTGACTCGCCCAATTTATCAGACCTATCAGAATTATCTGACTCACCCAATTTATCAGACCTATCAGAATTATCTGACTCACCCAATTTATCAGACCTATCAGAATTATCTGACTCACCCAATTTATCAGACCTATCAGAATTATCTGACTCGCCCAATTTATCAGACCTATCAGAATTATCTGACTCACCCAATTTATCAGACCTATCAGAATTATCTGACTCACCCAATTTATCAGAATTATCTGACTCGCCCAATTTATCAGACCTATCAGAATTATCTGACTCGCCCAATTTATCAGACCTATCAGAATTATCTGAATCACCCAATTTATCAGACCTATCAGAATTATCTGAATCACCCAATTTATCAGACCTATCAGAATTATCTGACTCACCCAACTTATCAGACCTATCAGAATTATCTGACTCACCCAATTTATCAGACCTATCAGAATTATCTGAATCACCCAATTTATCAGACCTATCAGAATTATCTGACTCACCCAATTTATCAGACCTATCAGAATTATCTGACTCACCCAACTTATCAGACCTATCAGAATTATCTGACTCACCCAACTTATCAGACCTATCAGAATTATCTGACTCACCCAACTTATCAGACCTATCAGAATTATCTGACTCACCCAATTTATCAGACCTATCAGA